GGGGCAGTATGCATTTTCCATGCATACTGCATTCAGGCCCTGCAATCAATGCAGAGATAAAGAGAACCATCTTTCTTCTCCTGGAACAGTACCGGGGCTGACACCCTAGATCTGACCAGCTGCATGAAACCCCGAGCCAAATTTTTATCTATGAACTAGTGCAGTTCATCTAATTCTCTCTCTCTCTCTCTCTCTCTCTCTCTCTCTCTCTCTCTCTCTCTCTCTCTCTCTCTCTCTCTCTCTCTCTCTCTCTCTCTCTCTGTGTGTGTGTGTGTGTGAGATGGAGTACAGTTTAGGCTTTGGTAGTTTGGCTCTGGGCACAATCTCAATGGCACAGTCTGTGGATTGGTGAGGAGAGAGTTTGTCTGAGCCTATCTTGCTGAATACTTCAGCCAAATCATGGTATTCTTTGGGTATGCCTCTCAGACACTTGCTCTTTGTGGCAGCCACCACTTTTTGATTAGATTCCCTTTTGGGGATGTTGCTATTATTAGGCGGGGTTTTCTGTTCCTTTGGGAACCTTAAGCACCCCTCTCACCAGTCCACATGCAGATTCCATTTTTTCAGCCAAGCCAGTCCTAGGACAAGGGGCCATTCCATGCCGGGTGCCACTATAAAGGCTAGAGTCTTTAGTTAGTGGCTCCCCATGGTTAAGCCCAGGGGTTCAGTGGCAAAGGTGGCTGGGATGCCTCCTTTGATGGACCCACCTAGTTGGTAGAACACAATTGGGTTCTTTAGTCTCAGGCAGACCCCCAGTTTTCCCACTAGGGTGGGCCTTATTAAGCATCTGGTGCACCCCGAGTCTAGTAGGGCCTTTAGGGTTACTTTCTCCTCCATGCCTGGAATTAACAGTTCTATGGGCAGGGTTACTGGTGTGATCGGCCCACTTACCAGAGGATTGTCATCGTAGTCACTGTCGGACATCCCCGGTTCTTTCTCTGGTGGGGTCGGAGTTCCCCATCCTGGCTTTGAGGAAGGACAGAAGTCTATGACCTCAGCGCTCTTTAGGACCGTGTCTTTGGGGTGTTGGAAAGGCTTGGTTGGTTTTCCCCCTGATGGCCTGTCTCCTTTCTTTGTGGGGGGTTTTGTGTGTCATTCCACAGCCTAATGGCCTTCCTTGCCACATTTGAAGCAAGCGGTTGAGTGCGGCGGTTCTGCCAGGGTTCTTGCTGCCTGCCTTTTCCTCTCTGGTGAGAATTGCCTCCACACTCTGCCTGAGTGGCACTGGTTCCATGCCTGGTCGATCTCCACTTCTTCAGCTAGAATGCACCAGTTGTGGAGGCGGGCAGGAGCTCCTTGAACAATGTAGGCATGGTATAAGTTGTTATTAAGCCCATCTTTAAAACATCTCACCAGGATGTCTTCTGGCCAGTTGAGGCAGCAAGCCAGGTCCTGGAACTCTTCAGTGTACTCAGCAACTGGGCGGCGGCGGTAGTCTTAATGTGATCTTGCACCTTCTGATTGGCCAAGGGTCTTTGAAATGCTGCCTCAGTGCTGTCATGAAGCAGTTAAAGGTCTGGAGCTCTGGTGTATCAACATTGTGCAGTATCACCATCCATTTGGCAACAGCACTTTCCAGGGCTATGGTGACAACCCTAACCCTGCTCCTTTGCTGGGAAGGTCTCGCCTGTATTCTTGCATGTACATGAGGATGTGAGTGAGGAAAAACCCCAACTGTTGAGTATCCCCATCAAACCTAACACCCGGGGGTGTGCCTTCTGCTCCAGCTGCTGGGCTCCCCTTCCGCCGGTTCTCTGGGTATTTACCCCAGTTGGGATGACCCAAGGTGGGATAGCTTGGGCAGTCATCACCCTTTCTGTGGAAGCAGTGGTGCCTGCCAATGTCCCTTGGGTAGGGGACTCGGTCCCTCTACGTGCAGGTTCCTCCACCTGTTCTTTGCTCTTTTCCCCGCAGCCATCGACTTCTTGCACATTCAGGTTCTGGAAGGCTTCCATCATGAAATGTACGGCTCATTTCATGAGCTGGTCGGCTTGGCTCGGCTCTTCCCCTAGCTCGTCCTCATTGTAGAGTAGTTCCACCTTGAGCTTCCAGCCTAGCTTCCTGCTGCCGTGGGTGAGAGTGACCATCTGGGTCCTCTATTCCCAGTCCTCCTTTTTCCCCACACCAACAGACCATCTTGGCAGCAGCTTCCTCCATCCACTCAGAGGGGCTTTCATTGGGGTAAGTCTTCATGGAGATTTCTCCCCAGCACTCAGTCTCCTCCTGCTCGCTGCCATGGTGGGACATTGTGTGCATGGTCCCCACGGTTTACCATTTTGCAGAACTTGCCTAATGTAAGGTGCTGCCTCAGCTAGTTCTCCCAAGAAAGCAGAACTCTTGAAACTGGCATTGTTTCAAAAGGAACTTTTATTGAGAGATAGTGAAAGCAAAAAGCAAGAGCTGAATATTTCCCATGTGAAATGTTACATTAAACCCCTTTCTTCAAAACCCCACCCAAGTGCCCAATTGCCCAGTCCATTTCTAGCCAATCCATAGGTGTGAAGTTGTTATGGGAACTGGAAGTTGAAAGAGCATTAAAGTGTGGTTCCCAGGCGTTGCATCCTTTTCTCACCAGAGCAGAAATAAGACAGGCCCCAGGTACATTCCTCCCTCCCTTTCACACCCAAAGTGATACATCAAAGTGTAGAAGAACAAAGCAAAAGAAACACATTCCAGAACCCCCAAATTCCCTCCTCCCAACAGAATAAAGATTGCCCCCCTCCCAACAGAATGGCAACATCCCAATGATGATCCGAGGTGCCTGACAGTAATTGTCTGGTAAGAGAGACAATTCTTTGAGTTAGCAGATTCTTTGTATGGTAATCTGAAATCCAAGTTTCAGTTCTTGAAGTGTAGTATTTGAAAAACATAAACTAAGCATCTCAAATTACTTTAAGCCAATGGAATTTAAGTTGAATCCAGCAATAATGCAAAGCTATGCATGTGGAATTCACTCGGTTCCTTTAGCCAATGCTTGCAGAATCAAACAACAAAATAAAAAAAAATCTGTGTAATATTGACTGAAACAGTTACTAAAATTTCTGCATGGCAAAGGTACCTATTGAACAAATAATTGAAAACCTTATATGCATGAAACTTTTTGGTCTAATGTTGATTCTGTTTTTTCACATGGTGTTTTATAATTTCTTATAGAATCAATTTATCTACAGAGATGGAAGTTTGTCTACAGAACCAGGAGTTTCTTTGCCATACAGAACAGCCATACCAGGCATAGCTCCAGAAGCTCCCATCAGGCAAGGAGCTGCTGAGATCTGTGATGACACTTGCTGCAATGGCACTTTACGGAAACAAGTGGCAAGTCTTTCACAAGATGACAGTATCACTCAGCGGTATAGTGCTGACCCAACGGTTTTTATCCCAGAGCGAGGGCCAAGAACTGAGCTGGATGAAGAAGGGTATATGACTCCAATGCCAGAAAAGTGCAAAACAGGTATATCTCTCACATATTGATAATAATTCCCCCTCCCCCCCCCAGTATAATCAATGCTCAGAGCGCACTGTGGTTGGAGCTCTATAGAGATAAAATGAACCCTAGCAAGAATGCCTTCCTCTATTACATAAGATTTATTTGGATGAAAGACCATTGCAAGGTAGGGGGACTATCACCTTTTCCATCCAAAGAGCCATGGGTCCCAAGGCTGAAGTTTGGGTCACCCATGCCTTCAGGAGCCAATCCATCCATTTATACATATGGGTAAACATACATACAGCCAAAGAGCCCTAAACCTTTAAAGCCCTACAGGGCATCAGGCCAGGTTCCTTGTGGGGCTACTTATCCCCAGAGCAGGCCCACCTGCTGTCATAGGATGGGTATGCTCTGACTCCCCTTAGTGCACCTGGGAAGACTTAGGAAGTGGGGAAAGACCACTGTCTTTGCAACCTAACATTCACATGGTTCTTGTTTAGCACTGGGTTGTCTGAATTATTCTGTTTCAGTCAAATCAATTCAATCTGTAAAATGAAAGGTATATCTGTGTGCCTGCTTCATGCAACTAGCATAACAGACTCCTAGAAGCAGAGTCTTGTTTTTCTGCATAGGCTTTTAAAGTTTGATGGAAGAGTTTATAGGACATCACACTTTTGGCATTTTATTTGTGGCATTGAGGGGAGGTTTTATTTATCGATTACATTGCAAACTTAACTGCTGAGTAAAGGTTACTTGCAGTAGAGGGTTGGGGAGGGTTGCTTTTCCCAATGTCCAGCGGAACAGCATGATCATTGGGCTAAGAGGAAACGCATCATTAGTTTCCTGCTGCCCTTAATGTACTCAACCATATAATATGGAAAAGAAAATGGATAGCATTCCCCTGTAATAAGCATTGCCTCTTCCTAGGAAGAGGTGATCCTGTTTGGTCAAGCTTCAACATTTGGTACTGTAAGTAATTAAAATCCATATCACTCATTCTGCAGCCCATGGGCTTTTACGAAATGCACTGCTTCCTGAAAAATCAGTCAGCTCAAGTGACCAGAGCTAAAATACTTTGAAGTTTTCTCCCTGATCCCCCCCCTTTTTTTTTTTTTGGAATTCCACAAGAATAACTTGGCTTCCTTGCATATCGTCTGTTTATGTGTTTGGTTTAATCTATATGTTTATTATTAAATGTTGAAATGCAAGTAAACTTTTAAAAAGCAAGAATTTTTTTTGATATTTTGATCTTTTCTATGATCAACATTGATGTCCAAGATGCAACCAATTAAGCATTAATTATTATTTTCTCTCAGTCTTGTACATCTTTCAAAACCCCTTTTGTCACAATAAGCTAGGTAACATTTTGGATGTAAGTGTTTTGTTTCCCTAAAATTTAATAAGGCAATGTAAAGAAACCTTTTTGGCATCACTGATTCTAATATAGTTGAGGCATGTGTGCAAAGCTGTAAGTGAGCTCAGCTTACTTTTAAAATGAACATGGTTTTACAATCTAACATCCATCGGGTGCCAGTTTCAAGCTACCTTAGGGGTAAGGTTGGGTGAAACTTATTTTAAAAAACATTATCACAGAATAAAGATGTAATAATTAAAATACTTCTTAGTTTTCTTTTTCCATCAGATATATTCCAGAAATTAAGAAGTTGCCCAACCTTGCATTATCGTGTGTGTGTGTGTGTGTGTGTGTGTGTGTGCGCGTGAAATTTGGATGGCTAATAAAGAGTTAAAGGGAAGCTGGTATTTCTTCTTCTCATATTTGGGCCGACCGGGTGCATCATAAAAAACACTTAAAACACACACACACACACACACGCACGTGTGAGTATGTGTCTTAATATCACATACACGTGTGTGTGTATGTGTCTTAATATATATATATATATATATATATATATATATATATATATATATATATATATATATATATATATATATATATATATATATATATATATATATATATAAATATATGTGTGTGTGTGTGTGTGTGTGTGTGTGTGTATTCCTGAAGTCAAAGAACCCAGTTGATTCTGTATTCACCTATTCCTAGTGAGCAGCTTGTTTTCACTTACATGAAATGTGACTGAGTTTATCTCAGTTGAAATTCATGTTAGCAAGACGGCACCTTATGGTTATGACGATGTAGCACTCTAAGTATAAACGGAAAAAGATAAAGGCATAACAATAACACAACATTGCAAAGAAAACCAGTATGAGATAAAACATGTACCAAAAGTGTTAGGTGTTAGAAGGAGTAGAATATTCCATAGCTGTCAATGCTTGATCAGAGAAGTGTTTCACTCCAAAAGGAAAAAGGGCTCAGAGAAATGTCTCCATTAGGGAACTTAAAGTATGGACAGGTTGATAGGGATGGGATAGTTTTGCCCGTTACCTTTAACCTCAGTTCCTACTCTTAAGTTCCTTTTATTCATTTCTGGGAGTGCTTCCAAATTTGTGTTTCAAGTGTATGGAGTTCTGTGTGTCTTTTCACTCAGTTATGCATTTTATATGCATTTATTCTAGTCATATACATATGTAAAAATGTTTGATGAAGAGGTTTAAATATTGCAATACAAAGGAACTACATACGTAACATTATCTTTAACAATAAAATTAAAGTCAATTGTAGAGAAAGGAAAAAGGTTCTAGTGAACTTAGGTCATCTCCTCTTGGGTAAACAAAGAGCCACCTTCTTACCACTAGAAGTTCGAGACCTGTTGGGCGATTATCACAACAGCCAAACTGGGCAGTCCAAAGTCGAGGATGAATATGTGAATGAGCCCTTGTACCTCAACACCTTTGCAAACACATTTGAAAATGCAGAGTACCTGAAGAAAAATGGGCTTCCATTGCCAGAAAAGCCCAAAAAGGCATTTGACAACCCAGGTTATTGGAATCACAGCCTGCCTCCACGAAGTACCCTACAGCATCCGGACTACCTGCAGGAATACAGCACAAAATATTTTTACAAACAAAATGGAAGGATCCGGCCCACTGTGGCCGAGAATCCCGAATACCTCTCAGAGTTCTCCTTGAAGCCTGGCATGATGCTTCCCCCTCCACCCTACAGACACCGAAACACCGTAGTGTAATCCCAGGAAGAAATGGGGAAACCATACCAGCACTCTCCTCTCCTTCCTCCTCTCCCCCCCTTTTCTCTCCCTCCCCTCTTTTCTTACTTTCTCTTGCTAAATCTTCCCTCCGTTTGATGTCTGCAAAGAGAAGGGACTCATTCAAGTCAATGATTCCAGGAATTTAGGAAGAAGCAAAAGGAAAAAATTCTGCCCTTTCTTCCTTCTTCTGAGGAAGAAAAGGTCAGACCAGCCACGCAGGCTAGGAACAGCCCCTGAAGTGGTTGTCTGCTGTCAGGCTGGTGTTCTTATAGTGATCCAGCTCTGGGTCTGCCAAGAAAGTCACCCGGTCAGTTTCTATCAGCAGGAAGCGCCAGAGCCACTGAAGCATTCCTGCAGAAAGCAAGGCAGTTTCAAAAGGTACACACACACACACACACACATACACACACACAAGGTTGGGTTTTTGAGGGCAGAATGCCAATGAATATTTATATAAAGAGAGCCTCCTGTTCATGTTTTATACACACTGAATGCAACATGTAATAATTTTCCTCTCCATTTCTTTATCAGCTGAAGCTGAGAGCATTATATAGCACTAGAAGGAAGAATAACACTGGATTTTTAAACACTTTAACATTTTTAAGGCAGGGTCAGGAGGGAAAATGGAAAAAGAAAAAGTAATGACAGGTAAAACACACTCGGGAAATCACTGGAAAATTAGTTTGCACTTAAAGTTTTCTTTTTCATTCTCTTTTTATTTTCTCCTTACTCTGAACTTTATTCTGGAATCTGAATGAAGCAATATGGAAGTGACCAGCAAAATAAAATAATTTAAAATGTAAAATGAATAATAATATAAATATATATACTATATCTATATATGAAAGGTGACTCTGGAATTGCCCAAACAAAGTGAAAGTCAAGCCTTTGGAACTTCATTCCTCAGTGCAACTACTACTCACAGGAATAATATTGAAGTACCAACTTTGGCTATTGGCTCTTACAGGAAAAGGAGCACATATGAAAGAAACTCCGAAGGTAAAAGGACTGATTTGAGCTCCCCAGTAAAGACTATTGTGAGACTGTTATTGAGAGGTTTTGTTCTAGCACAAAGAAGAAACACTAAACAAGAATTTAAACCAATTAAGGGTGTTTGTGGCTGTTATATTCCCAATCAAATCTGTAAGTAATTTCCCAGCATTTGCCCATTTATTATTTTACTTTTGGCTCTTACATGCTGATTTAAAGAAAAATAGCTGGTTCCTTGAAAGTGTAGCATTAAAAGGCACAAGAACAGAAAAAGAACCACCTCCATTCTCCTATCTTAATAGATTTGGAATGCAGTTTTAGGAGGAATCAGTTACCTTAGCGTATGCAGTTTGGTATTGATAATTTCAAAGCAGAGAATAAAGGTAGAAGACCAGAGATTCAGTCTAGAAATAATATTTGTATTTAACTCTGATGGACAAAATTTAAGGAGTGCAACAAGATAAGGATTATCTTCAGAAATATAAAGAAGTATATTAAGAAACCCTTGCAAGAGGTAGGCTTTGGGCTTCCTTGCTTGACAGCTGATGGATATAAAAGCTGATACTCTTAAGAAGCAGGCCATTATTCATTCATTCGGTATGCTGTATGAAAGGCATGTCTTTTTGGGATTCAGCAAAAAACAAAACATATCCCATGAGGGTATCAGCAACAGAATGATTTTACTGAAGATGAAGGCAGGAGCCAAAACATGGCACACACAGCGAGTAACCTGGACAGATCTTACAGAGCCAATTGTTAGGACACCTACAGCTGTGACCACAAAGGACCCAAGCAAGTAGGTTAGATAAAAAAAAAAAAGAACCAAACCATCAAATCTTGCAACCCCAAATCCCTTTTCCAATGTAATATGGAAAGCACATAATACAAAAATAATTGTTCTGCCGATGATTGATCTAGAATATTGCTTGCTGGTATTCTCAAATTAGAAAACTCAGATGTTAATGACATTTAGAGAAGTGTTTGAACTTCTTGTCTCAAAACAAGCTTTCTGGCTTTACGTGGATATTTACTTTTCTTCAGATAAGCAATTTATTCTTCTTCAAGGTGCAGCTTGTTGGACACCCTTAGCCCCCAAATTCTCAAACTGAACCCCACATATTATGCAGGTATCCATAGAAAAAGTATGAAACGGTAAACAATTTATCTGCTTAAATGTGCACTTGATGATTTCCTTTTTTCCTTCTTCCTTTATTTAATATGAAATGAAATTTTGAAGAGGGCCAGACCTTCAGTTAGGCAAACAAAATCATAACTCTATACGCCTCCATTGCTAACTAAGATAATGAGAAAATGACAAAACAAGCATTATGATAACATCATGTAATTTTCATTTTCTCCTACATGTATTGTAATGTTGTACACAACACTGAGGTGGAATTTGCATCAGAATATCACAACATACATTCCATCATATGCCCTACTTCTTGCAGACATCCATGCCTTGCTTCAAACCTTGATTTAAAAAAAAAATAACACTGAAACCTTCTAATTCTTCCTTAAAACTTGAATAGTTAATATGATCCATCCAGGACAGTGAGTTTGCTTTTATTGCAAATGCTGAAGAAGGAAAAGTAGCTAAAATGTAAGTCATAGATATGCTTTTATTTTAAAAGAGAAAAGAGTGGTCTTAAAAGTTAGGAATACTTTGAAAATCATTGCTTTATCTTCTGTAGCTATCTTCATTTAAAGAGCTTGTGTCTTCTAGTTACCTGACTTACATTTATAATCTGCCATAGCTTTGCAACTAATATGTGTACTATTTATTGGCTGAAGGTCGCCATATGGGACCTAGTGTGTGATCTATGTATGTTGTAATCCAGATGCCTAAATCATTGATTCTTCCAGGTTGATAGCTTGTTAAATCCTGCCATTAGCAGTTGCTTCCATTCTTCTCAATAGTTATCGCTCCCTACGTATGTACAGAACTTGCCAGAAGGAGCCATGAAACTTCAACACTTCTTATTTCCCAAAGAAATAGCCATTAACTGGCACATTTCTGTGGTCCACCTATAAGTCCTTAAGAGTTTCCTGTGTGAATTGCATCTCTCTTGATTCTAGAAGAGAGCCTGGCAGATCAGACTCCTCCTTATTCCACTGCTGGCTTGAGTGAAATTCACAAGATCTGGTTTTAATTGTAGGCATTATAGTAATGGAGTGTAGAGCCAGAACCTAGAACAAACTTGTCTTCCACTGCAATACAGTATAGGATCGCTTATTTAAACAAGTTTATATGAATGGATAGCTTTTTGAATTTTTGAAGGTATTCCTTTCCTGCTACATTTCATGCAAATGCAGCTCATTATATACGCAGTTTCTTTTAAAAAATCCCACACTTAATATTTATGAGGTGGGATTTTAAAAACTTGGTAATTAAGTAAATAAATCAAACTAATTATATTGCAAATTTCTCCATGCAGTAATTAGGACATCATTGGGCCAATATTAAGGCATGTTTCTCTTTATACTTCATCATAAAGACTAGGCAGATTGAATCCTAACTTCATCATATTAGTTTATTTTCTCATGTAAAATATTGGACTGTATAATAATAGATGTTAGATTTTAGGATTACTGTTTTTCTTCCTTAGGATTTTAGAGTGAAATTATTTGAATCAGAAAGATAGCATAAAATTTTAGTTTTTCCAACCAATGATTAATTCAAAATCTCATACTAGCTATAGCTGTGAAACTGTGATTATAATTGTTCTTTAAAGTATTGTCCAAGCTATAAAAATTAGTTTTCCAAATGACAGTACAAAAAAATCAGTTAAAAAATGAACCAAATGTACTACTGGCCAGGGTTAATATCCACAAATATCTCAGTGAAATCTATTTGTGTAATTTACATAATTCTCATTTGTCATACGAGGCATGTAATTAGTGCACAATGGTAATAAGGAAATCCGCCATGCCACAACTTCCTGCTGGTTCAAGATTGGTGTACAACTTGTTTGATCTCATGCTATCAAATTGTTAGAGACTTGAGACTGTCTCAATTTAGTTGAAGTTGCTTTTAATTGCTGTTCTGTGAATCCGGTTTTCTCACTGGAAGAAACTTCTGTTTCATCCCACGTCCTCCTAGCAACATTAACCAGCAGTATATCTCATCTTGTTTTGCATTGGCAATAAGTATCTCCTCTGGAAGGAAGAAGGAATGATGTGAAAGTCAACCACACTGAGCAATCTTCCTTTGCTTTCCACAGCAGCAGCCCCCCAGTGCATCCTTCAGCTCCAGGGATTAGACCCTGAGCCTCTGTGAAGGAAGGCCCCAGCTAAAAACCTGTCAGAATGCTAAGTCTACTTTGCAGCAGTCATTGGGGACTGACTGAATGAAAGAAGGCAGCTACACATCCAGGACCTTTTTCCTTATGCCAAAACCTCTTATATTTACACCAGTGGCCACACAAGTGCACCCCAGATGCATTGCAAGCAAGGTTAGTGGATTGGGAACTAGCACTATTATTTATCCTTTTTGCAACAAGCAGGATATTTGTTTTTCTAGGAGGGCCTCTTTGAAATGGCATTTTCTATGGTCTCAGCTAGATGGACCCGTAATTGGCTAATGATTACTTCAGCGGTTCCCTGCATATTGGTGGGGAGAGTGGGAAAGCAATGGCATGTTAATGGTGGTAATGCAGAAATGCCTTAAAGTGAAGGCTACCGTGGTTCTCAGCTGCAATTCAACTGCTTGACTTGAGGGAAATTCTTTTTTTATGCCCTCTATCCTATCAGTATGCATTTTTGGTGCTTGCAATCATGCTGGTGCTTCAGAAAGTTTTCTACCCTTGGTGGAGGGCGAAATCCCATAGGTGTAATTGTATACCCATGGATTATACAGGCAAATAAATGAATACAATTCTACAAATCAGAGACTATAGTGAATCAAAGACTATGGCAGTCTTCCAATACTTATTCTCCAAAGCACCTGAGGGCAGGACAAGAAGTAACAGATGGAAGATTATTAAACA